GAGAGAGAGAGAGAGAGAGAGAGAGAGAGAGAGAGAGAGAGAGAGAGAGAGAGAGAGAGAGAGAGAGAGAGCTGCCCAATTGTTTGTTGAGAGGAGTTGTTGGAAGGTGGAGTGCCCATGAAGATGGGTTGTGGAAATGGATGGCAGTATATAGATAAGATTGATGGAGAGTTTGTGGTGGCGTTCTCTCCTTGGCGGTGGGCATCGAGGCAGAGAGAATGTCACCGGATGAATGCGATGCGCGAGTAGATGAGCTTAACACGCTTACGAATGGATTGGCAGACCTTCCAGCGGCCACACTTTGATGCTGTATGTCCATCGGTTAACTTTGGGCCGATTTTACCCGTTAACTTTGGGGTGATTTAACCAACGAATGGGTTGGACATCCTGGGAGCGTTGATATGTAGGCAAGTGATTCACTTTGGGGTGATTTAACCAACGAATGGGTTGGACATCCTGGGAGCGTTGATATGTAGGCAAGTGATTCAGCATCAATGGTGAGAATTTTTTCAGGGAGTGTTATAGCCGTTTGGTGATTTCAAGCTGTCGTCGTTGCTGTCTGCTGGGCGCAGGTTGGCGCGCTGGTTTCGAGAAGCAGAGCAGACTGGTAGAAGCGCCCGGGTGCAATTCTTAGAAAACTTGGGCGGGTTACGGCAGAGGGCGGTTAGACTACTGCGAATGTGTGGGAGTTTTAGTGTGCAAAGGGTTCCATTTGGCTGCGTGAGAGTTTGGGGAGTGGTGGTGGGCCAGCTCAAGGTCATTATGCCGCCGCGTACGTTGTAGCTTTTCCTTTGGCTTCTGGAAACTTGCGGAGCCTCAGCCTGGCCAGCCACAGATACAGACACACACACACACACACACAGAGAGAGAGAGAGAGAGAGAGAGAGAGAGAGAGAGAGAGAGAGAGAGAGAGAGAGAGAGAGAGAGAGAGTTTGCAACCCAGTTAACAATCCCCATGCCGTGCGAGTGTTGCCAGGCCATTCGTTGACGGATGATGTTTTCCGTCCTCTTTGATGTCTCCAAGAAACGACTTTGCTCGCACTTGGCTAGGAGAGCAGCAGGGTGGTATGGAGGGCAACAAATAGTGGAGGTGGCATTGTGGACGGAGAGAGCTTGTCCTACTTTGCCGGAGTAAAACGTGGACCTGATTGGATTGTTTAAGTATAGAATCTATTTGTTTATGTGCGGTTTCGACCCACTCGTCTGTTCCACTCTCCTCTCGTCATTCATCCCTATTTCCATCTGACTCGTTCATTATTTCTCTTGTCCTCTCTCTCTCTCTCTCTCTCTCTCTCTCTCTCTCTCTCTCTCTCTCTCTCTCTCTCTCTCTCTTACACACACACACACACATCTTTGGCACGATCTTTCTCCCTAACTCCTTGCCATCCTCCGTCTCAGCATCACCCCTCTTCCTCTCCACTTTGCTTTCTCTCTGTTTTTCGTTCATCGCTGCTCCATAGTCGACCGGTAGTGCAGGCATGCAGCGTGTCAGTTGCCGACTCTGTCCCTTTGTTCATAGTTGGGCGGCAAGAGTTCAAGAGGCCACGGCTTCCCGTTTAGG